GAACGAATTCCGCATACACTAACCAAAGTAATTGCTGTTCTCTATCTCTTATCTACTATCGCCTAACTTCAGCCTTCTGTCTTTCATTTTATATTTATTACCTATCAGCATCCGTCTTCTACCTCCTATCCTATCATGTTTTCCATCTTCTATCTTTTACCTTCTGGTTTTTATCTTCTATATAGTTAATCACATATAATCTTTCATATATATTTCATATTCCATTTTCTTGCTTCCCTCTTCTCTCTTCAGTCTTTCATCTTCCAAGCTTCCTTGTCTCTCTTCAGTCTTTCATCTTCCAAGTTCCGTCTACCATCTTCCATATTCGATCTATCATCTTCCATCCTCTATCTTTTATCTAGCCGCTTTCATTTCGCATCCTCGTCCTCTTTAATATTCCATCTTAAATCTTCCATTTTCTATCTTCCTCCATCTTCTATCTTCTATCCATCCATATTTTATATCCTATCCACTTGCTATTGCCAAATCAAGTCTAACCACATAGCAAATATACTCTCTAGCAGCGTATGGAATAGCATTAGTTGTTAGGGGCGTTCAGTCGGACGGGGGGGTGGCCACTGTGCCATGTGAGGGGCGAGGTGCGTAGAGGCCTGTCCTCGTCGCATGCTTGCCACGTCATACAGTTAGCAGTAGACTTTTCGAATTTGATTTCGTTTTCGATTTCGAGTCTGAATTTGAAGTTCATGAATCTAATTTGCGCGCAATCGACAGTTTTTTTTTTTACGAGCTCAGAAACCAAGGCAAACTGATATGACAGCGCTTACATGGCGCACACGCATTCTCTCGCTTATTTATGACGTTTCCACATTGCGTGTAATTGACATTCACATCGATTACTTCCTAGTTTTTTTTTTTTTTTACGAACAGCCCTGAATGACTCAAGCTTTGCACATTATCAAACTCAAGTGAGTGGAAAATGAAAAGGAATGCTAGAAAACATGTCGAATCACGTCCTGAGTCTTATTAATGGGAGTTTGAGGAAAAGTGGATGACTGAGGTTGAGCATGAGCTGTTTCTAAAAGCCTTAAAAATACACAAACAAAATTTGTTTTTAAGGTTTATATGGAATCAAAGTCTAGCTCTGGCTTAAACGTTCTACTTGGCTAATGTCAATAATAATAAGAATAATAATACGATACAATACATAATAACGATTTATTGATATTTGTCGCTGCATGAAAACAAAAGACTTAGGCAACAAACTTGATGTTTGTTGGTTCACATTGCATGCTAAAAAATGGAAATTTCAAATATAATTGTTGTCTGCCCTCAGCTTACGACTGGCGACGCCTCACCTTGTGCGCTTTAGAATTCAATGAAACAATTTTCTTAATTTTTAATTACTATTACTAATTACTTAATTCGAATTAATTTTAAATAGATTTTTTTTACATTATTCGCAATGCGACATTGAGTTTAGATTTTTTTTTAAATAGTTTTTATGCCGGTGACGAATAATTATTTTTCTTTATTTTTTAATAAAGAAAAAGAAAATACATTCTAGGAATTCCGAATGAATTTTTTAATAGATATTTGCTAAAATGATTTTGAATTCAACGACCAATCATAGTTTGAAAAATGTATTAATTATGTGATTATTTATGATATTTTTTATAAATGTTTCTCCGTTTTTTTAGCGTTACCTTTGCCTCTGGGCGCACTTCACTCGCAGAAACTTGAAAAAATCGATTAAAACGCTTAAAATCAACAACTAAAACAATAACAACAAACAAACACTCTCAAATTGTACACACGCTCGCTACAACAACAACAATAATAATAATAAGAAAAAGATAATAATAATAAAAATCAACTTTGATAGCAAATAGATCGTGCGATTGGTAGAATTGGTTTGGATAGCTGCCCAGGCGGATGCGCAGTGCGTGTATGTAAATCATGATTAGCTCTTTTCGGCATTTAATAATATGGATGGCAACAACAGCGCAACTAGAAGAATCAAATACAACAATGGTAACAACAACAACATCAGTCAGTAATCGCAACAACAATGTAGCTATCATCAAGGCCATCGCTGCTCTGGCTTTAGTAAATATTTACATAGATGCCACCAGAGAGATTGGCTGGCAGCATTCAATGCTCGGCTGCGGCATGGTCAAGGTCGAGTTGTGGCAGCTATCAGTGTAATATTTGCTCTTTGTTGTTGTTGTACAACAATCTAAAGATGCGCCAGTGGATAATGTATAAATACTTAATTAAGTCAAGTCTGAAGCACACTGTACACGAAACTGTTTCTCCTATCACTTGGACTTTGAGAGCTTAGTAAATTTTCACTGTAGTTGTCTGCGAGTGGAATATAATTTTTAATTTTTTTGTTTGTGTATATTTTTTAAGCATTCAAATTTTTTTTCTTTAGCTCACTTCTTTTTTTCTCAAGTGTCTTTCTAGTCCGTCTCTCTTGCCGCCTGTTTCTGTCCCTCTTTCGCTCTCTTCTCTTCCTCTATCTCCTTAATCAATCACTCTTAATGCTTCCTCTCATACATCTACCTAAAATAGAAAAATTATTTCTCTCTTTCGTGGTCCCTTATGGTTTTTTAATCTCCCTATTCGATGTATTCAGCTTTATTTATGCATATATATTTTCAATGTTTCATTTCATATATTTCATATTTTATTTTTGATTTTTATTATAATCCGCATATTTGTATATCTAGATCAATTTATTCTGTGTTCTCATAGATACATTCAGACTGAACGTAATACTCTTAAGAACAAAGACAAGTACAATCTTTCTCAAGAGTAAAAACAAATTCGAAACATTCGCTTATTTGTTTAATCAGTTGTACAATTGTTCATTTGTTTGTTCGTTAGTTTGTTTGTTAGCTTGTTTGTGCTGCTTGCATTTGGCTTTCAATTAAATGTTTAACATGAAAAGCGGCTTCTAACCTTTAGCAGGTTTCAAGTTGAAGTTTATTGACCCTTGGGCAAAGGCGCAAGCCTCAAAGCCTTCAACTGGCGGCGGATCTATAAAGATCGCATAAGATTCAGTTTCAATTTTTTTTCCGTTGGTAATTGCTTCTCTATTCATTGTTGTTGTTGTTGGTGGTGGTGTAAATAAATTAGCCAAAAAGTTCAAATGGTCAACTGGCCAAAAATAAAATACAAAATAAATTATTGGTAAGGTCGAGCCAAGCAGCAGAGCAGCTGAGCAGCAGAGCAACCGTTGAATGTCTAATGTCTTTCAAAGTAAAGCCCCATACCGAAATGGCGAAGCAAATTCATTTACATGCACAATACAATATGCCGCATTATTATTACTATTATTATTATTTGTAGAGGTGGGCCATATCGTAATGGATTACCATAAATATGGCTATGAATGTTCTCTGCATGCAGAACCAGGCATTAAAACTCTCTGCTTGCCAATTAGCGAATGTGGCCGAGCTGCCGAGCTAGCTGGAGGGCACTTGGGCATTGGGTATGGAGTCTTGGGTATTGGGCATTCAAGCGTGCTGTCCGAACCGAAGGCCAATGGAGGGGCCGGGCAGACCCGATTATAAATAACAACACAGACCAATTTAATTGGAACATCATTGAAGCAAAAACAAAGTTAAACAACTAAAACTTTTGCCATGCCTGAGGTCAATTCCACCAGCTGTCAGTTGCAATTATTTATCTAGAAATCGATGTGCATACTTTTTGTTTCATATTATTAGCAGACGATCTAACCACCATAGCAACAACAACAACAGTAAATAGCATAATTGTTGCCAACTGCATGCAAAGTTCAGGGTTAAACATGGGCTAAACACCTGCAATTGGCATGCACCCGCATTCGCTAATTGCATACAAGTAAGCACTAGCAAATGGCTGATTAAGTAAAATAAAAATAAATAACTATTTTAACTATACATGTAAATAGCAAACTTTTTTTAAAGCCATTTAACAGTCTGTGGATAACTAACAGCATGCTAACAATAGTTGGCAACGCGTCTGGCAGCGACAATTGCTGTTATGGTTGACGAATTTAATATTAAATAATTGAATTTATCTAATAATGATATTTTGTAAATACTCCTGTTAAGAAAAATATATAAATATATCAATTTAAAAAGAAAAGTTATTTAATTTAAATATTGGCTGTTAACGGTCTGCCACTGCTACAGTTGGCAACGCAGCACATACAAGGCAGCTGGTCTATCGATGGTAGCAACTATCGATGTAATTAACAGCTGAGCTGTATTGACTGCAAACGCAAACAAAATAATTGAAAATAAAAGACTTAGCTATATCGCATATTATTCTGAGTTATGGAAATACCGGATACATATTACAGCAAAGATGAATATGTGGAAACGGTGGGTAGCAATACGACAAATAATACATCAGATTCCACATTAATAATAACTTTCTTTGGATGACCTCATCTCAGGCATCCGGAAACAAGGTGAGCCGCCACACGGTACTCTGTGGCTCCCAGAACATTGTGCTCAATGGCAAGGTGATTGTGCAGAGCGGCGCCATCATACGTGGCGATCTGGCCAATGTGCGAACTGGACGTTATTGTGTGATTAGTAAAAACTCTGTGATTCGGCCGCCCTACAAACAATTTAGCAAAGGCATCGCCTTCTTTCCCATGCACATTGGTGATCATGTCTATATCGGCGAAGGTGCTGTCGTTTCAGCGGCTAACGTTGGTTCCTTTGTCTACATTGGCAAAAATGCAATCATTGTGAGTCAGGAATTCAGTTTAATATTTAACATTTGATGAGATTTGTTTTGATTAAAGGGCCGTCGCTGTACGCTTAAGGATTGCTGTGTGATCGAAGATGGAGCTGTGTTGCCGCCAGAGACAACAGTCTCCAGCTACATGCGCTACACGGCCAAAGGCACCATCGAGGGCGGCCAGGGTAATCCTTATTTTGTGCCCGCTGCCATGCAGGATGAAATGGTGAACTATACGAAATCATTCTATGAACATTTTGTGCGCACTCCAGCTCCGGCCAGCTAAACAAATCTAATAATTTATGAACTAACATTAAGTATTATATTTAATAAAAAACCAAATGACTTTTCAGTCAATTAGCCCGGTGATGCAGTCGTAGGCCTCATTGGCAATCTCAAAGACGAAGTAGCTCATGCCAGTGCGACGTGCGATAACTGCGGCCGTTTCCTCGGTGTTGTTCTCCTTGCGTGGTTGGATATTGCGATCCATGAGTAGAATAGTTGCAGCATTCCTGCAATTGGAAACGGTGGCTGTTACATGCAGCGGCGTTTGCTGTCCATCTGATTCGGCATTTACATCAGCGCCAAATTGCAGCAGGAGCTGCACACTCTCGGGATGACTCCATTTGCAAGCCGAATGCAATGGAGTCCAACCGAGCTCGGTGCGTGCGTTCGGGTCAGCCTGATACTGGAGCAAGAGTCTTGCAATGTCTAAGAAATTGTTGTAGCAAGCGCGGTGCAGCGGCGTGTACCCATCGTTGTCCTTGGCATTGACGGTATCCGCATCCAGTTGAAGAATTTCGCGCACCTCACTAAGACGATTCTCACTCACGGCCCACAATATCATGCGTTCAATGCTCGCTGCTCATTGAATGTACTTATATAGTTATATTGAATCCATATTTGTCTAAAATTTAGTACCTTGTGGATTTTTGTCCTCCTCGACACCATCGGTATCATCATCCCAACCGCTCACAAACATGCCGCGCGGCACCTTGGCATAGCGCAGCTTCTCAAATTGTGATTTCTCATCATCCGAATCATAATCTCCCATTTTGTTCTTTCCAAATACTGATTTCTTATTTTTGCAAATAAATGTTGATTTTTTGACAGATGTATCGCTATCGATATTTCGATAATATCAGACTATCGATATACATGTGCCAGTATGTCATTAATTTTACAGCACTGTAAATGCTAGCAGCAAGAAGCAGCAGCATCGTTGTTATTTATTTTTCGTTCATCGCGGTTTTGTTTACGTTTTTACGTTCACGCCATGTCAAATCCTCAGGAGGAGCTTTTGCCGCCCAATGCCGAAGACGATGAACTAACATTGCCACGGGCGAGCATAAATAAAATAATTAAAGAGCTGGTGCCTACGGTACGCGTTGCCAACGAAAGTCGTGAACTGATTCTCAATTGTTGCTCCGAATTTATCCACCTGATCAGCTCAGAGGCGAACGAGGTGTGTAATCAGCGCAGCAAGAAAACCATTAACGCCGAGCATGTTCTCGAGGCTCTCGATCGCCTCGGCTTTCGCGACTACAAACAAGAGGCCGAAGCTGTGCTGCACGACTGCAAGGAGGTGGCAGCGAAACGACGCAGACAGAGCACGCGTCTAGAGAATCTGGGCATACCCGAAGAGGAGCTGCTGCGCCAGCAACAGGAACTGTTTGCCAAGGCTCGCGAAGAGCAGGCACGGGAAGAGCAACAACAATGGATGAGCATGCAAGCAGCTGCCGTCCAACAAAGCAATGCACTGATTCAGCGACCCGCGCAATCGGACAAGGATGCAAGCGGAGGTGGCGGCGGCGGCGCAAATAGTAGCTTTGTGAGCAAGCCCAGTGAGGATGACGAAGATGATGACGACGATGACTACTAAACGAACGAGTTTATTTGCTTTGCGCTTAATGTAATTTGTAATAATTATAATTAAACTATTGTCATAAGTCAAATCTCCGCTATCGTTGCCTGTTTTTCCAGCTGTTTGGCGAGCTGTCTCTCCAGGTGTTTATTTAAGCTGTTAACCACGTGCTTACCCGGCACATATTTTCCTAGAATCTCGGTATGTTGCTTCCAAAATTCATTGCCAATTAAATCCTCATGTATGGGTACTATGGCCTGCCTGCCCTTCTCCTGCTCGTCTTGCGAGTCTAGCACTACACGCTTGCGCAGCAATATCGTTCCCTTACGATACATTGCAGGCAACGTGTTGTAGTTGATACCAAACTCTTGGAAGAGCAACTCATTCTTGTCAGAGGAGAATGTTCCGCGCAGCCGTTCCTCGGCCTGTTGATTCGTTAGACCCGACTCCAATACAAGCTTCCAAAATGCCGTATTATACAAATTATTTACATGGACATCGGCTTGTCGCCAGCTTAAGTAATCGCGCAGATTTTCGTCCGAGGGATAGAGCACAATACGGCCATCGAAGCAGGGTGCGTAGCTCAGAGGGCGCTGCATCCATTGCGACCAGCTCAACACATAGCTGCTGGTGAACATGCTCGTCACATAGCTAAGCAGCTTGGCAGCGCGTCTCTTAAATGCCGACGTGTCCTTGCGAAAGACAAAGGAATACTCATCGCTTTGGCCATAGCCGAGAACAATATCCCGAAATTCCTCCATAACAGCAATGCCAGCCGCATTCATAACATTCAAAGCTGTACCATATTATTTTCAGTAAATTCATTTATTTTTCAATTATGTCGTACACTTCTCACCATTTTCATCGTTGGGCTTTTCAAATTTGTGCGCGTTGGCGAACTTGTGAAACTTTTTGCCATCGATGCGTATCACAATCCAAACATTTGGCAAAATTTTATCATCCTGTTCGTACGACTTAACATATTCATATCTGCTGCAGGCCATGCTGCGTGTGTGGAGCGCAGTTGCGCTTTTATTTGTAAACAAAAACTTGGTAAATATATGGTTAAGCGCGCGGAAATGCATTAAAAACAATATGTTTGCTTTCACCGCATGTTAAACAGAAATATATTAAAGGTGCAAGGTAACGCAGAGTAAATAAAAGCTTAGTGACGTCATAACTACATAATTAAGATTGGTGCATAGAGTAATTAATATATGTTATATGTAATATATGTGGGACTTTTGCTTAAATAATAAATAACAGCTCTTTGTGCTTGGCTGCATTGCATTGGCATCACCAATAATTTGACAATCTCTTTTTATTTATCTTTTTTAGTGTTTATACACATTTCGGTTTAACAGCACACTTCAATTTGCACCCACCGATTACTATCGATAGACTGTCTCAAAATTTGAACAGCTGTTAAAGAGTATCGCAGACGTACTTTCTTGTATAAAGCGGCGGCTAAATTTATTTGCTCTCAGCGTGTTCATATAAAAATGAGTATTAATTATGAACAAAGTACGACAGACAAACACTACGCGCCAAGCAAACTGTCAGATGATGACGAAAGCGAAGATCAAAATATAAAAACAACAGGGCAGTCAACTGCGAAACAAATCAGATCGGAGAATGATGAAGCAGATGTTGAGGCTGGAACAGGCGCCGAAGCCGAAGCTGACGCCGATGGCGATGGTGAGGCAAGTGGAGCAGCCAATACACACGTTGTGGCACACCATTACAATGAGCTAAAGGAAGCCGGACGCAAGGAACGACACAAGTCGAAAATCTATTTTATGCGCAACTTCAACAACTGGATCAAGAGTCAGTTAATTAACGAGTATATGGACCTTATCAAACAGCAGAAACGAGTGGGCGAAGCTCTCCGTGTGCTGGATATGTGCTGCGGCAAGGGCGGCGATCTGCTCAAATGGGACAAGGCATTCATATCCCATCTCATATGCACCGACATCGCTGAGGTGTCTGTGGAGCAATGTCAGAATCGCTATCAGGACATTTTGCAGCGAGCAGAAAAATCGAAATTCGGACATAAATTCACAGCCGAATTTTTTGCCTGCGACTCGACAATGGTACGGCTGAGGGAACGGTATAAGGATGCATCGTTGCAACTGAATTTGGTCTCATGCCAGTTTGCGTTTCACTACTGCTTCGAGTCGCTGCAGCAGGCAGATTGCATGATCCGCAATGCAGCCGAGTGCCTGCAGCCAGGTGGTTATTTTATAGCCACCATTCCGGATGCCTACGAGATTATCAGGAGATTAAGAGAAGCTGGACCAGATGCTCGCAGCTTTGGCAATGATGTCTACAGTATTGAGTTCGAGTGCAATACGAAGGCATTGCCGCTCTTCGGTGCCAAATATCAATTCCATCTGGAGGGTGTTGTTGATTGCCCCGAGTTCTTGGTACATTTCCCCACACTCGTTAAGCTGGCTCGCCGTCACGGCTTGCAGCTGGTTAGGCGCAGCACCTTTGCCGAATACTTCAAGGAGACACTGCCTCAGGGCCGACAGCTGCTGCAGCGCATGTCTGGCCTGGAAACGATTCATCCGCATCGCTGCGACACCCTAGATCAGTTTGAGCATGTAGGTCGCATAATAGGCACTCAGCGTGGTCGACCCGTGGGCACACTCTCCAAGGCCGAGTGGGAAGCAACAAGTGAGCGCTACATTTATCTATGTGTATTTTATATTTTTATCTCATCGTCACCCCTCTCTTACTCTGTTTCTCTTTTAGCGCTTTATCTGGTCTGTGCCTTTAAGAAGTGCAAGAACAGCTGGGATGCCAATGGCAAGCCTGTGTTCGAGTTTGATGACTGAATTATGCTCCCATAAGGCATTATATATCTCTAATTGCATCAATGTTCGTCAGTTTTGATTTTCGGGTGCATTTTTAAACACTTACAACACATACTCAGCATGAACAGAGCGTATATTTTAGGTTTAAATGCCAATTTGAAAGCTGTTAACATTAATTCACAAATATTTCAGTTGAAAGTTTGAAAAAATCAAAAACTTATGATGTTTAAATGGTTAAAAGAGAAAATGTTTTTGGATATGCATAAATAGGCATAAGAGTTGATTGTGTTCTATAGTTAGAAATTCATCTTATATGTAAAAATTGTAATAAATTTTTAATTTGCTGACTTCTTTTAAGTTAATTTGGGCCCTAAAACTTTCTCATACAAAATATTTAAATATATTTGGCAGATATATAAAATATCTAAAAATTTTAAAGGAATATAGAAAAGACATATGTATACAAACAGGTCCTTTGATTCAAAAGCTGAATTGAATACTATATATGTATATGTAAAAAACGAATATACTTTTAACAAGTTGAGACTAGTTAGAAGTTTAAAAAAAGCTCGGAAGTGTAGAAGTATATGGAAATATATGAATATTTATATGATTACATAAATATATGAGATGTTGTCTACAGACTGTAAAATACAAGCGTTTTATATATACATAAAACTGGAAAAAGTAAATCTAACATACTAGAACGCAAAG